TAACATGACTTCTCCTACAGTCTGCTTTCGCCGCTGAATCCTGTCAGTGGAGTAGATTTCCGGGTCATTGCTTCCTCGTCTAGGCCCAGACCCTTGTAAGCTTCCATAAAGAGGATGATCATTGAGATTCTGTTGTCTATTAGAATTCTCTTCACTAAGCTGTTTGCGACCGTGAGCGATATAACTAGTGCGTCATGGTGTGGAGTTAGTACCTCTCTCCCTTCCTCTAGTGCGAAGTTAATCATGTATTTTTGATAGTTGTTCGTTTTAATGCAACGACATTACCTTGTCGATTTCTGACAGATGTAGTATTCTTTTTAGTAGTTGGATGAGAAATTCCACTGATTTCAGAACCGCCAAAGATGAAATTAATAACCCAATTTCGGTAGTGAGGCAGGAGTGGATTTTTTGGTGCCCTGTCATTGCTCTTGTCGTCGATGCGATTTTGGCTCTATAAGACAAAATTCTCTAAGTGAATCTTTCTTTAACAACTCATTCACCTCGATTCACAATGAGATGCAGCCTTCTGTTCTGTGACCTTGGTCTGCTGGTGCCTTATTTTTGAGGCCATCTTACTATTCCACCCATCTGATTTAATACACCAACCAATTCTTTCAGAGAAATTCAAATGTTGCTCATATCCTTCCATTACGTTAATTGGTCGATGTGTACTTCTGTCATCGTTTCTCCTGCATACATTGCCGCTTTGAGGTCATTAATATGGTTTATCATCTCTGATCGTTCTTATTTCTCATTACACGCAAGTCAGAACATGGGGAGGGCTGATGATGGTAGGCAGGATCTTCCTCCCATCTAATATGTGCCCATGCTCTAGATAGCACGAACGTCTTCCATTGTTTTGTAGTGATACTTAATCAGTTCCTTCTATAGATTGTCATTTTGAAGCAAACCTCTTTTGAATGCTGAGATTGAAGTAGACGTGACACACGCCGGTATAAACACTTTTTTTTTTGTTGAAACGTCCGACATAACCATGCAAAGACTCGTTTCTCTTCTGTCTGACCTCATAAAGATCGTCAGCTGTCCTTTCCAAATTTCCAATGATTGCAAATTTCTCAACAAAACAGTCTGTCAGTGACACAAAAGAGTCAATTGAAGTGTTCGGTAGGTTCATAAACCATTGGAGGGCTGGTCTTGTAAGACTCAAACTGAATCCTTCGCACATGGTCGCTTCGCAAAGTTCTTTTGCAACTACTGTGGTAAAAATTTGTTGCTTGTATTGTGCTATGTAGTTATCCGGGTCTGTCGTTCCGTCATACATCTTCATTGAAGGAAGCGTGAACTTCCTTGGCACCTTTGTCAATGCTATCGCGTCTGTAATCAGGTATCTGAATAGGAGTTAGGAGCACTTTTCGTGATTGGAGGAGCCCCACTGGGAAGTCATGCGATTAAGAGTTCCATAGTTTCCAAAATGTTTTGAGAAATCATCTGCCCCCGTAGTAGTCGTTCCTAGATTTCCATTATGTTGTGTCGGTCTTTTGTCTGTAGGTACGAGAGGATTGTCAATCGGTTACATAGGGGGAACGCGAGCTCAAAATCTTGCACGAGCGTTGGTTTCAGTGCTTCTATCGCCAAGCAAATAAGCATTCACATCCTTCACAGAAGCGTTTTCTGCTTTGAGTTGTTTAAGTCGTTATTTGCTTTGCTTGATCTGGGCGGTGAGTGCCTCCAGTTGAGCAGCGTGATCGAGAGGGGTTATCTCTTCCTCTCTCACCATAGCTCACACAGTTAAAACTATCCCCTCCTTCTAGCGCCGAACAGTTAAATTTTAACTGGTTCGCACACGAATAGTTCTATAGAATGACGAGAGGAAATATAACTTTATTAATCAATAAATATTTAATTACAATAAATCAATATCAAAGATCAAGGTAACTTGGTATTGTCTGTCGCTTGTTACTCATCGTCGATTGGCAAAAAAACGAAGCTACGACGAGGTCTGAGTGCTCAATTTCTGTTTCTGTCATTGCTCAGCTATGTGAGTAGAGCTCCTAGGGTTTTTCTTGTAGCAAGTGTTTGTATATCCGTCCTTATTCAAGGACTTTCTTATTTATAGAATCATGTCACTCTTAATCCTTATTGGATTTGGCTTCGTCTGTCAATTGTTCCTCATAATCCTAATCGAATTAAGATTTATGTTGGTCAGTCGTCCTAATTCTTTCTAGATTATCGGTTTACTCAAGAATGTAAACCAGCAATTTCTGTATATTCGTCGGCCGATGCTAAACTGATGATAAGAGCTATTTGTTGATGCTCAACCATACGAGAAGCTTTCGTCAATACGTCCAATAATCTTTTGCTGCTTCTTTTCTTCTCGCAGCGACATGGCCGCAACGACCAGATGGTGAGTTAATTTCATCCAACATAATATATGTTTTTTTATTTTCAAAATTTTGTAATAATATGAAGATTGTATTTATTATTTGATAGTATAGCTTTTTTATATTTAATTTTTCTAAGTTAGAGATTTATTTGTGTATTTAGATATACTTTATTTATTTGTGAAATTACTATATTAATTTGATAATCATAATGTTGAAACTATCTGATGCGTGTCAACTGCGTGAGGGAACAAGTTTTACCCTTAACAAAAACAAATGAAAGCCACAAGTGCACAGCTAATCAGTTGCAGTATTTAGGGATTGAATCCACAGAGATTTGTGTGCCTGGTATTCTTCTACGGTTTTTAACTTTATGTCTAGACTAGATTGGTTTTAAAGGTTGATTGTTTTTCATGGATTAAACTAAAACAAAAGAAAGCAAATAAATCTATCCTAAGGAACAAGTAGAATAATCGAATGAAAAGGAAGTAAAGCAAGCAAAATATCAAACTAAAGCAATTGAAATGCAGATCTAAATAAGCAAGTAAAAATTGATTTGTTTGTAAACTATGGCTAAAAACGCTGAGCTTTTGGGAACTCTACATGGATCATAATCGGTTTTAACACTAAGGTAGATAGATTGGGATTGACGGATATCGATATATAGGGTTCTAGAGCTAGAGTACGGCGGTATGACTACGTCACTGTCGTGATCATAACCAACTGTTTCTCGCAACCCTGACCAGTAGGTTTCCACTCTGGCCCTGGAAGGGAGAGAACGCAAGAGCTGCACAAGACTCGTCAATACTCACGATCTCGCCGCAGATAGGTTTCCACTCCTACGGAAAAATCGCATGTTTCATTCTAGGGCTGATACTTAATGAAAAATTTCGCAACACTAACTATCTAGATCAGATACTAGGTGATCAATCAAACATACATGCAATAAGAACAAGAATAAACAGAGAACAAAGTTAAAATCCCAGATCTATAAACCTAGATGTCTTAATCAATTATGAGAGCCCCTTTCGGGAACCCTAAGCCCAACTCGGGATCTATTCAGACATGACTAAGGTCGACATCATCATTGGTTTTAATAAAAGTAATCAAAAACAGTAAATAAAAGAGATGAAGAAAGCTTCTCTATTGAAGAACTCGGACTTGAACAATCTTCTACAAAAATCGCATAAAAACGGCTAAAGGAAAAAGGGTTTCTGTAAAGTATGAAGGGTGGTGTCTAAAAACGACCTAAATGACAAGTATCTATAGTCTTCAATACTCCATGGTCTCTAGGGTTCCGGAATTGAGGCTGAAAATGACTTTGGACTTCAGAAATATGGGCTTTAGTTTGGAGTTAGCCGGCCGCGGTCGGGAATGACGTGACCGTGGGAAATAGGTGGCTGGCCGCGGTCGGAAGGCTTGTGATCGCGGGGGATGGGCTGTTGGCCGCGGTCGCGTTACTTGGTGGCCTTCTTCGAGTGGCTCAGGGGCTAATGGAATATCTTGAGATCCAACCGTTGGAATGTCTCCAAACCAAGTGAATTTGAAAGCTGGTTGATTCTTCTATAAGTTGTCCAATTTTGAGGGTGATCAGACAGTGAGAAGGTCTTCGTCTCTCCATGAGAGTTCTGACGGTCTGCATTTATCCAAACGAGTCTTTTTGTTCCAATTTGTGCCTCTTTATCCCAAATTACCTGAAAAGTCTTTTAAAATCCGAAAAGATAAAAATCCTTTGAAAACCTTAGAATATGGAGTAAAAACACCTGTAAAAGACATTAAAATGATCCATAAAAATGGTCAAAATCCGGTGTTATCATCATACAAATTAATAGATGTTTGCATTTTAATTTCTCCATGTGTACTATACACTGTTGATTGTGGTTCTCAACTATTCAGGGGTCGGTTCGGTAATTCGAGTTCGGAAGATTAAATTGATTGAGTTTTATTAAGTTCTCAATTACAGTTCGTTCAGTTCGGAGGTCTCTCGACGAACTCAATACAATATTCAGGTCTCTATTCTCCGGGTCCGAAAAAAGATCCCTTCTACAGTAACAAATCTACTATTTATAGTACATAAACAAGGAGAAGTTCTAGGGCTTCTCGTTCAGCTCTCACCGCCTCTTCTCGCTGGGCTTTCTTCTTATGGGCCGTGCTATCAGGCCAGACCCATTTCGGCTAAGACCGTCGTAAACCGGGATCAATTGGGCCGGTCTCGGTCTTTAACCAGTCCGAACCGGGGAGCGGAGCGTACCACCAACAGTATGTCCCTCCCCCAATTCGGTAAATGGACCTGACTGACTTTTGCCGAATTAAAGCAAGATTGGTTGATGACCGAGGTCGGTGGCGTCGAGCTCTCGACTTGTACCGCTCTTCATTCCTCTGGTGTTTTGGGAAGGGCATTTGAGTATTTTCGCTTGCGGGGAACCGAAAAGTTGTGTTGGTTTAGGCGGGAAGTCGAGACGTTACGAGGCGCGGAACTCAATGATTTGCTCTTCCTCTATAAATAAGGCTCAGCTCTCCCCACTTCCCACATTCGCTCCTACTGCCAAGGTATTTGCTCTCCCTTCTCTCTAAATTTTCTTCTTTCTCTCTCTAGAATTTCCGGTCGCCGTCCGCTGTGCTCTCTCGTCGACGGTTATTTCCTCGAGTTCTCTGACGATGTCTTCCGACTCTTCTTCAAACTCCGAAGCCGCCATTCTTCCTGAACACCGCAGGGAAGAATCGTCCACCGACATCTCGGGCTCGAGATCTACAGAGCATTCTTCGAATGCTTCTTTGGTTCGGAAGAATTCCCGGGTCGTCGAGGTTAGCTCTAGTAGTCGAGTTCCGATTCGAGCTCCGGAGCGGATGGATCGGAATCTCCGTGGGTCCGAGGGTCAGGCTCCCAATGACTTGGTCTTGGGACGGGAGCCTGACGTGAAGACAGATGAAGACGCTCCACCGCGCGAGGTCGGGGAAGGAGGGACGCAGGACCCAAATGATGATGACATGATGCCGATCATGGATCGGCCATGTGTATGCGCTCCGGTGAAATCCACCTTGTCGTCTCCGGAGACAGTCCGGGCTGCTATGCTGATCGGCGGAGCCCCTCCCGGGATTATCATTCAAGTTCCCGAACCGGAAGAGCGCCCTTGGGATGCACCCGAGGGCTTCATTTGTGTCTACGAAGCTTATTTCCGCGAGGCCGGATTGAAATTTCCCCTGCCCCGGTTGCTGTTTGCCTACTGCAATCGTCGCGGCTGCGCGATATCGCAACTTCAGCCGGCGTCAATAGTGAATTTTGTCGGGATTCTCCAGCTCGGGCGTGACATTCGGGCTCACATCAATGTAGCCCAATTCGAGGAGCTTTTTATTATGAAGGTCTCGTCGGCAAAAAGTTGGTTTCTGTCGGTGAATTTCAACCTGAAGTTCGACCTGGTTACTGGGAACAAGGCTAGCAAATTTCCGAGCTGTGACCAAAGCTACTTCTTTGTTCGCGTCGATTCATTGTCTGCTGAGAATCCGGAGAGCACGTTCCGGACTGGCTGGAGTGTCGACTTTGGTATATATCTCACGGTTAACTCCCCTGTTTCTTGGTTGGTACTAATAAACATTTTTTGCTTTTGCAGATCACCACGTTCCAGGATTCATTCAACGCTCCCTTACATCCAACCTAGCAAAGCAGCTCAGTCTCGCCGGACAGCGCCGTTGGCCCCTTGCTTACCGGGAGAAGATTGACCGTCGGATAAAGAGAGCTCAGGACAGAGGTATGAGTTCTCAGGTCGTTTTGAATTCGTCATTTCTTGGTTGTATAGATTATGGTTGACATATTTGTATTTTTGTAGCCAAAACTAAGACTGAACCCAGCTCGTCGAGGCCGGTTCCGAAGAAGAAGAAATCAAGGAAAAACAGCAAATCGAGTCGGAGGAGGATGGCATTCGACAGATCGGATATTCCGATGATGGACTTTGGGGCTGACGAAGAAGAAGACAATGCCCCAATTGATGTTGTCAGTCTCGACGGGAACGAGGCCGACGATGGCGTTGAAGCCGCTGGTGGGGACGAGGTCGACAACGTCCCAGTCGGCCCAGTTGATCCTTTGGTCCCGGTTGCGGAACCAGAGGGCGACGTGGCGGGAACTAGCGTTCCTGAGGTGATTCATCAGCCTCAAATGGAGGAAGGCGAAATTGGTGAGCAGGATGAGGACGAGCTCACCATCGCCGACCGTGCCCAGAGGAAGAAGGGCAAGTCCTCGAAGAAATCGTCTCGGAAGAGGGGTGGTGATCCCGAGACGGCTGCGAGTGAGGGGACTCTGGTCCTTCACGGAAGGGACATCGGCGGGTCGCCTACTGCTTCTCAGATTCCCCCAGCGGATCCGGCAGCTGAGACCGGAAATCCGAGATCGTCCAAGAAGCGTCGGACCTCTGACTCGTCCTCCTTTTCAGTCCGGCTCAACTACAACAAGGACCGGTCCTTCTTTGACGACTCGACTGCCTGCGCCGAGCTCTTCAGGCAGATCGTGCCGGCCTCGTCTCCAATGCCTGAGACCAAAGACCATTTCTGCCCCAAGTCTTATGCCCGGGTCGCGAAATCTGCTTCCGCTGTAAGTTTCTCTCTGTTTTGAATACTTAGACGTTTTTTTTTTTTTATTTTGGAATGTCTGATTTTGATTTCCATTTTCAGCTCGTCTGTGATACCAACGAGCTCGTCCGCGAGTACGACTCTGAGGCTGAGGAAGATTAATGCCGAGGTCGCTGCTGAGAGGGCGTCGTTGGAAGCGTCGTACCGGGACAAGAAGGAGAGGTACGAAGCTTCAGTGCTGGCCTTTAGTGAAAAGGATAAGGAGAACCTTGTCCTAAAGGAGCAGGTTGCGGCTCTGGAAAGGCGGACTGCCGAGCTGGAGGGCGACATGGACGCTCTGTCCAAGTCGTTCAAGACGAGCGAGCTCGAGAGGCGGAAGTACCGAGATGCCGAGTCAAAGGGCCGGAAGATGATGGCCGCGCTCAGAGGCAAATGCGAGGGGAAGCTTGCCAAGGTGAAGGACTTCATGGACAAGTCTGAGCTTTAGAAGGCACCGTTCCTCAAGCTCAATCAGGCGACTGCTCTGGTCGGCTTCTGCGACTTCCTTAGGAGGGAGCATAACATGATCGTCCCGTCTCACATCGTGGAGACGTATGCGTGTAGGGTCAAGAACTGCACGAAGGAGGTTGATGCCATCCCTCTTCCGCGGTTCAAGAACGAAGACTTCCTCCTCCCGAGTGACGACGATCTTATCCCTAGGATTGTGCTTCCGCCGGGGACGCAGGTTCCGGAGGGCTTGGACCAGTGTGGCTCAAACTCCAGGTCCATCTCGGCTGATCGGGCAGCGAGTCTCAAGAGTCCGGCGTCCGTCGCTCGCCAATGATTCCTCCAGTTTTCCTTAGTTTTATTTTGATGTTGTTGTAAAGACTATCTTACCCGCATAGCTCGGGTTTTAACTTAACGATTCGTTTTGGTCTTAAACAAATAAGAATGCCCACCCCGCCAAGCGAGTACGAGAACCCTCCATCTTCCTGTCTGGTTGGTTGCCTCGGCCTGACCGTTGCCTTGCGAGTACCGCGGGGTCGAGAAACTTAGACAAATTTTGAACTTTGCGCACCAATCATTGAACGTACCAGCAATAAATTGTGGTCCGTTGTCCGTGACGATCTCATGCAGGACCCCGTGTCAGCAAATGATATACTTCCAAACAAATTTTTGTACGTCCAGTGCGGTGATCTCAGAGTATGCTTCGGCCTCGACCCATTTTGTGAAGTAGTCAGTCATAATCAAGATATATTGTTTTTGACTTGTCGATCGGCATAAAGGGCCAACGATGTCCATGGCCCATCACATAAAAGGGTAAGGTGCTGTACTGGTTTGCAACAGCTCGGTTGGCACGTTAATCATTGGGCCATGACGCTGGCACTTATCGCACTTCATGACGAACTTCTCGCAGTCCGCCATCGTCGGCCAGAAATAACTGGCTTTTTTATTTTCAGGGCAAGGGATCGACCTCCCGAGTGATTGCCACCAGACCCTTCGTGGATTTCGCGCATGATTTCGATTATATCGTTCCCGGAGACACAGGTCAAGAGCACGCCGGACGCGCTCCAACGGTATAGTTTATCTTTGTGCATTGTGTAATGAGCGGCCCGGACTTTAAGACGGCGAGCAGCCCATTTGTCTCCAGGGACTTTGTCGTTGAGGAGATATTCTCGCAGTTCGGCTGTCCAATCCTCAGCGGACTCGTTCTCCTGGTTTTTGCTGGTCGACGGGCTGTGGATTCCTTCGGTTATGTGCTCGAAGTCGTGATCGGCGGCTAGATCTTCGAGAGCCTGTTCGGCATTCTCCTTAAGAGCCTGATCGGCATTCTTGTTTGCCCCTGCCGGATTCCTGCGTTGCGTATTTGACGAGGTCGGAATTTCGTCGTAGTTCCGTCGTTGGGTGGCGACATTGCATTTCGGCGCGGTTTTGATGCTTGGTTCTGAGATACTATCAACCGGGATTTTTCTCTTCATATGCGGGTCGGAACTGGAGGCTAGGGCGGCTAACGCGTCAGCAGATGAGTTCTCGCCGCGAGGGATCTTGGTGAGTTCGAACGTCTCAAATTTCGAAATAAGTGCATTAGTCGTTGTTAGGTATGCGTCCATTTGTTCGTTTTTGGTCGTGTATTCTCCACTTAACTGACTTGCGACGAGCTGCGAGTCACAGAAAGCGTGAAGATGTCGCACGCCGAGTTCTCTAGCCAATCGCAGTCCGGCAAGTAGAGCTTCGTATTTGGACTCATTGTTGGATGCTGGGAACTCAAGGCGGAACGATGTTCAAGGATTTCGCCGTTTGGAGATTTTAGGCGGATTCCGACACCTGATCCCCGGTGTGAGGACGATCCGTCGACATGCAGAATCCATAGTTCACAGAGCGGTTGTTCGACAACGAACTCTTTAGGGAGCTCGATCAGAAAGTCAGCGAGTACTTGGGAGTTCGTGCTGGTTCGTTTCTTGTATTCTATATCGTATTCGCTTAGTTCGACGGCCCATTTCGCGAGGCGAACTGATTGGCTTGGACTGTGTAGAATGTTTTGGAGCGGCTGGTCGGTCAAGATTGTGATCGAATGAGACTGGAAATATGGCCGAAGTTTCCGAGCAGAAGTCACTACTGCAAGCGCCAACTTTTCTAAAGATGGGTATCTGGCATCGGCGTCACTTAGCGATTTGCTGACATAGAATATGGGACGTTGTTCCCCCTATCTTCGAGGACTAGAACACTGCTAACCGCCGATGCGGAAATAGCGATATAAAAGAATAGCATCTTGCCGTTCTCGGGCTTAGCTAGAATGGGGGGAGTCGAGAGATACGTTTTCAGCTGCTTGAAGGCGTCTTCACATTCGGCGCTCCAAGTATGATGCTTGTTACCTCGCAAAAACTGGTAGAAAGGTAGGCACTTATCCATCGACCTGGAGATAAATCTGTTCAGAGCGGCGATTCGGCCTGTGAGTTTTCTCACTTCCCTCTTTGAAGTCGGGGAAGGTAGGTCTAGAACTGCGGATATCTGCTTTGGGTAAGCTTCGATGTCGCGCTCGGTGACGATGTAACCCAGGAACTCGCCCGCTGTTATGCCGAAAGTGCACTTGGTGGGGTTGAGTTTCATCCCGTACTCGT